CCCCCTCCCTCCCCTCCCCCCATAGAGACTGGGAAGAGTGGAGCCACTGCTGCTCCCTATGTCCTCTGCAAACCAGAATCACCCAAGTCTGGTGAAGGCATGGAGCGAGGTGAGAAGTAGTAGCCACAGGCTGAGAGTTCCCTTTCCCTGTAAGTTTTCTAGTGGAAATTTCTGAAAAATGTCCACCTCTGGAAATGAATGCCTGTTTGTGAATGCTCTCAAAGGCACAGCAGATGCATCTAGAGTTGGGCTGGGCTCAGCAGTAACTGCAGTACACACCTGTAATAGTGAATTATTAACTAGAAGCAAAGGATGACGTTGATTTTTATGTAAAGTAAATTACAACTGTAATTTTGTAAAAGTCAAGGGAAGCTAGAGTTGGAGCAACATGGGGCACAGCTGAAGACACATGTACAATACAATTTAGCAATATATTGTAGAAGTAAGCCTTGGGAGGGAGGGGACTGGATGACAGAGATAGGAGTTACACTAATTATTGTACTGGGATTCAGGGCTGTGAATAATGATGAGACCAGAGGGGTGAAATATGAATAATCTTGTATTTATCTTCAGTTCTACATAGAGTTTTGTTCTTCAGTTTTAATTCTTGTAGGTACAATGTCTTACCACCTGTTAAAAAAAAGAATTTTCATTCAATTCATTATTTTTAATCCTTTGTCAACTTGGATCATAAAAAAAGCAAATAGTGTCACACCTCCCTCAGGTTTCATGGGCTGGAAAAATGTATTTTGGAGAATCTGTGTAACATTTTAAATCTTAGTCTCTCTAAACTTTGTATTCCATTTTGTTTTATGTACTTTAAGTTAAATATTTATGCACTCTAGACATGAAAACCATTTAATGTGTTGGACATTAAATTCAGTTATTTTAAATACACAGTATAATATCAAAACTGAACTTTTTATACCTGTATTTGCCTAGGAATAAATAAAATAGGAGAAAAAGTATTTTTTCAACTTGTAAAAATTCAAAGACATATTTTATATAGAAATATAAATCTATGCACACACACAAATATTCCATTATCATTGCTTGTCCTACGAATAAACCCAAATAACAGAAGTGAACTGATTAACTGCCCTTAATGGTATTAACAAGCTCATGCTATGTCACATAATTAATCTTTAAAATGTCATATCTCTCAGTCTTTATACAGTGTATTTATAAAATGTTCTGATAAAGAATAAACATATCTTCACTTTTAAAGGCTTTGGAACGGGTTGCAGTTGGCCAAATGGTAAGTAATGCTGTTTATTTTAAACCTTCTAATGACAAAGCTATTTTTTTATTTTTTTAATACTTTTAACGCATGACCTTCTACTGAACCTGCAACTCGCTGAATTCTAAAACATTACAATTAGTCGAGTATAAATCAAAGCCAGATTGATATTATGTGTCAGCACCATGAAATTGCATCTTTATTGCCTCGTCTGCACCTAGTGATGTTAAAAAATCTATTTTTAACACAATTAAGACTCAGTGAATGCATATTTGAATGACCTAGTATAATAATAAACTGTAAAAAATTATGTTTCATCATGCTGGTTAAAATTCTGTACAAAATCCAGAAGTGTGTTGTTAAGAACTTAGTCTGTTAAATGACCCTTCCAACCTTTGGATTCTTTTTACTCTGTCTTCTAATAAAGCTTCAACTTTGGGGTCTTAACTGACCCCAAAGCAAGGGTAGATCCTCCAGAAGGGTTGCAGTGGTGCAGTCACACACCATGAGAGCAACAGCTGTGAACTATTCTAAGACCCCAAATCAAGTAAGTATTCCCCCTCTCCCTTCCACTCTATGAGTTCACAGGCACAAGAGTGACTTTAAAAAGGTCCCTGGCTGCTGCTCCCATAGTCTGACCATCCCAGTGGAAGAGGGGCTGGGAGGAGCTGGGAGTGAGGGTGCAACCACCACTACAGCATCAGCCACTGTGTGCGCAACCTCTTTACAAAATCCTGGATCCACCCATGATGAGGAGCCATAGTTTTCTTGGGGTCTAGTAACTTCTTGCTAGGACAAACAAGTCAGTTTGCTTTCTGTCCTCACCCCCTATTAAATTTTGGTAATTTCTGCTGATATTTACAACAACAGTGCCACTTATAGTGGTGCCTTTTTGAAGTACAAACTTGCCCACAAGGAAATAATTTAAAATTTAAAATATTGTTTGCAAGCCACAATCACTAACTGAAAAAATGCATTCTCCAGAGTTTTTCTTAAAATTGCTGTTCACAAAGAAGGAGGAGTAAATAGAAAAATCATCTAATATCATCATATATACAGATCTCAAAAGACTGATCTTTTTGCTCTGGGTCAGTGCAGTGATCAATAACTTTTTCACTTGGTACTGATGTTGCATCAGCTGATACAGAGATAAGAAAGAAATGCCATGTGATTTATTGCAAAGCCTTGCATCTGCTAGGCATACCATAATTCTTATTTTAAGTCTCTGCCTAAATTGCCCATGAATATTTGATATCATCATTTGGGGGGGGCTGTATGCATGAGGTGTACACATTTTTAATTGATGAGACTTGCAGACCACCTTATCCCTGATGTAAACCCCCTGGCCTTAGTAGATTTACCTGGGATGCATTTTTAACTAACAGGCATTAACTTTTCTTATGTAAACACATCTTTCATAACTAAAGGTATGAAGTTTTAAAAGCACCACACTGTTTTGATAATCATGGTACTTTCTGTATGGGTATGAATGTATCAGAGAACTGAGACAGAGTGACTATAAATAAGAGAACATTTTAACACCCTTAGAATATTTTCCCTTTGCCTCTTTCTTTCATATATGTGTATGAACAGTGATGAACAGACTTCCTTCAATGTATGGTGAAGTGATTCTAGAGTGACCCCCTTTTCTGTAATAGAGTTGTATGGATTTACATTGTTATAATTAAGAACAGAATTTGGCCCATCTTTATTTCTTTGTCTTGGCTCTTTATCCCTTTACCCACTTCCTATCAAATTTGGCAATTTCACGTGTTTATTTTTTCTCACAATTATGATTATGCTGTAATCTGACCAAAGAACACCCTTTTAACTTGGGAACAAACACAATTAGAAAATTGTCCTCTCAGCCACGTTATTTAGACTGCTTTGAGAAAAATATAAACCAATAATTAAGTAAGGGAGCCAACAATATTAGTTATTCTGGATTTGGTTTTGATCCCAACTTTAAATTCCTGC